CGGCGGTGCTGGTAAAGCCGGATATGTCTGTCCTTGAATCCGTGGAACCTGTGGAACTGGTAAAGGCACTGGCGCCCTTTGCCCCTGCTGCACATGTTGTCCCTGTCCCTGTCCTTATCCCTGTCTTGCTCTAGGACACTGCCTAGAAGTATGACCATACTCTCCACAAGTATGGCAACCACCTATAAGGTACTAAACTATCTCATCTATAATCCATCTTACCAAATTAATTCCCACAAGTTACTTTTACAACTCGTTGGTAATTGTCCCATCTCAACACAACTAACATATAAGCAAAGCTTTGTTTGCTTACTCAAATACAAATCACTCCACTGTGACATTCCTTCATTATCGCAACACACATATTCCAATATAGTTTAATAAAACCATTCATGTATATATCACAACAATAAGATCATAAACATAAAAGAGATAGCCAAAACCACTAGTTTATTTTATTACGAACTCCTTTAAATCGATACCTCCAAAAGAATAATTGTCATTTATTCATTACATACTACTAGTGTATGTAATTTAAAACAGTACTATTCTTTAAATAATACTTCCACTCCAATTAGTAATGAAAATCATAATACTATTAAAAGAGCATTTATCCTTGAACGTCGGTACTTTTCATCTTGGATGCTTCGGTATCTCCTCCATCTGGATCTTCTTCGGAGTTTTCCTCTCCACTTGGCTTAGCTTCGAGCACCACCGAAGTTGTGTTAGGTCCACAGTATGGTGGCTAATCTCGCACACCCGAAACCTTCCTTGCTTTACACTCCGAAGCAACTCCTATTGGAACCAATTTCTTGGTCTCCAATTCTGCCTTCTTGGTGGGCCTTCACAGGGGAATCGTCGGAGTAACCTTTTTCTTCCTTGGGTCCTTCTTTGCTTTCATCGTGGACCACATCCTTTTCCTAGTGCCAAACATTCTGAAATTACAGAATAAAATTGACATCAGTACCTTCTAATTGAACCGTAAAAGAATACAATAAATCCTAAACTTAAGCTCTAAACAATAGAGAATGCTACGCGTAAGTCTTATAGGATAGAATCCTAGAGACACTTGAACCTGGAGTGCTCTGATACCAACTGTGATACCCCTCGGATCCGAGACATGGGTTGATCAGGCCCAGGCCCAAACTCGAGGGAATATCAAATAATTAATATTTAAAATGAACACAGATTACAAAATGAATTAACAAGAAATAAATAATAACGCTGAATGAATACTAAATAATAAAATCCTCAATCGTTAATCATTAAAACCAAACTTTCCAGAACCTCCAATCTATATAACTCGGGAATCCATCCAGTGGACCTCTTAATAAAATCCCAAACTAAAACTAAAACAACTGAAGTAGAATTTAAAACTAAACATAGAAAGCAATCCTACGTAATCGGAGGAATGAGTGTCTGTATCTGCTCTGCACGTCCAAGCTCTACCCTGGAACTGACAAATACCTGAAAAATAAGAGAGTGGGTCAGGCCTACATGCAAGTCCTATCCTACTACGATCCATACAGAAATCCGATACGCAGATACATCCTAGATAACTTAACAATATCTAGAGTAGTCCATATATGTATATATTACACACTATAGGACGCTCGTTAGTCCAATGAGTCTATCTCAACCTGAATAGAAAGCGACATGCGAAAATGCACCCAAAGGTGGGTATGAGTACCTAGACCTACCAAGGAACAACACCTATGTCCAGTTATCCATCATAGGCGATATACGCACCATAACCATGGTTCTGAGACTCAAGCTTATACTATGGCACCATATCATAAATATATAAAGTCCGTATACTCCTAATACAAAATATCATCCATCTAGTATAGTGGTCTGATATATATATAACAATCCATCCAGAAACCAAAGTAGGTCATATAATTATTTTATTGACATGACACAAGTAGGAGATGGATTTAACCTTTATGGTTAATCCATATCTCAATCCAGATTAGGTAGGATTTAACTTCTTTGGTTAATCCGTCCCTAAAATGCCACCGTCCTATACCGGTGCATTAATCCATCCAGTCCAACAAATGATGCAACAAAATAATAACACATCAATCAAACCAGAAATATTATGATACAAAATTAAACCATCCAGTCCAATAAATGTTGCAATATAAAAATGATACATCAATTTAATCCACAGATAATATGATACACATTATACAGATAAGTATTGCATTTATTTAAGCAATATTGCAATTTAAATAGCATGCAGCTAACTTACCCTCCAAGTCACTAACATACATCTCAGATAAACAAATACAACGTTTCATGAACATTGTTTAATCCGTTAAAACATTAATTTCAATTGTCAGAGCAATTAAATTTACCCGTCCATCCAATCTAAACAACATATAAGTTATTTAATTTCCAAACCATCCACCTTCTTAGCATATATAGATATAAAATGCATTCTGGGATCTTCTTAAGTCCATTAAACCCATTTAGATGAATTAAAATAGGTTTAGAAATAATTTTGGGCAATTAAAACCAAAATCCAGGTCGCGGTCCAACTCAGTAGGCTAAGTTGCCAACTTAGCAAGCTAAGTTCCCAACTTAGTCGGCTGAGTTGGTGCTGAAGTCGTCTTCTTCGTCTGTTCAGCCTCTGTAAACCCTAAAACTCCATAGTTAAAGCCTTTAAGCTTCAACCTAAGTCCCATATATCCATACTAAATTATTTTAGATGTTTTAACATGCAAAGATTAAACTTAAACATCAATTGTGCATCAAGAATTTCCAGAATCATTCAAAACAGGAATATGAAAACAAAATTATACACCCTCTGTTTTAGTCCAATTAAGCATGCATAATTACTCAATTTTAGTATTCGTTAAACCCCTGGAGTCTAGTTAGGCATGCACAGAACACAGATTTAAGGGAAAGAGTAGAACAGAGACTTGCCTTTAGTTTCAGATTTTGAAACTCTAAACCACCGTCTCTGAGTTTTCCATCAACGTTCTAGACTGTCGTTCTACCCCTCCGGTACTCTTGGTTAAACCCAGAAGCAAACATGTTCCTTTCTCCTTGAACCTCTTTGTAAATCTCTCAAGGTTCACTCTCTGTTTCTCTCTAATTTACTCTCTGTTTCTCTCTGCCTCAATACGTGAATATGGTTTGTTTGTAACCCTTATACAGACGTATACTAACGTATTTATAGGCTTTACTTGAAAACCTAATCAAAACCTAAACCAACTATAAGTCGGCTAAAACTCACAACGTGATAAAACATAAAAACCTAATAATTATTTTATACAGTTAAAACCGTTAATAAAACTAATTTAATCAAATAATGCATATAAACAAAATAAATAATACAATTACACCATTAAACAATTTAAAACAATTAATTTAATTAAAGAAAATAAAAACATAATTAAATAAAATAAAATAAATCAACAAGTAATTTAAATAAAAAGACAAACAAGCACATAATCAATTAAGTCCAATAATACAAGTAATTAAACAACTAATTTATTAAAAATACACACAAATAATTAAATTAAATTCCATAACTGTCCTTTTAAAATTAGGGGTATTACAAGAATGGTGGGTCTAAGTCCCCAGCTCTCGAGGTGTTAGATCATTTGGGTGAGGACTTTACCGAGGCACTTAGGGGAGAGAATGTGGAAGTGTCCTCTCGAGAGGTGCCAGGGCATGATGAAAATGCAGAGGTAACCCAGGCTTCTCTTTCGGGAGTGCAAGAGCCCCTACGTCCTCGAGAAACACATGCAATGGAGGAACAAGTAATGGAATGGGACTCGTTTGTGAAGAAAGAGACATCGAATGGGGGAGAAAGGCAACCTTCGCCCTCGGGAGAGCTGCAAGCCTCGCTGAACCCTCCTGAGTCGCAAATAGAGACATGTTGTCAATTCAATCATTTTTTTTGATTTTTGATTTTTATGTTTGTTACTTTTAAGTTAGAACATTAAGGTTACGTTTGGTGTACAAGAATGGAATGGAATGCAGCTTGGAATAGATTAAAAATGAGAATGAAATGGAATGCTAATATTTTTCCATTATTTAGTGTAATACGGTGAATCGTTATGGAATAAAATGATTATTACCATTCTATTGTTTGGTTGACCATCATTAAATCTGGAATGGAATGATTTTTCTCCAAAATACCATTTTCAATGGTTTACATTACTTTTTAATAAAATTAATCAAATTAATATTATGACGATGAATTATGGAACGTTATAAGATGCCCAATACTGCCATTGAAAAAAATAAAGAAAAACCTTAAAATAAAATAAAATATTATTTTTTACTCCAAATGATTGTTAATTTTTATTTTATATTATCATTGCTCCATATATAAATGTTCGAAGAGAGAAAAATGGAGAATCAAACAAATGTTTCAACACAAAGATACAAAAAAAAAAAAAAAAAAAGTGATATACTCAGAAGATAAAGAGATTAATACCTACAATTTGGTTGAAGATGCTGCAACTTTTTATCAATGGCACCCCTGGGTATATTCAGAAGAGAGGGAATGTGAAAGACCTTTACCACGTCTAATAAAGAAGTTGAAAAATAGAATGTGAAATATTTTTTTGTCTATACGACAGATTTTTGCTTTATTAGAATGTGATGAAGGGCTTATTGGGAATATTACAAAAATATTTAATCTTACTATAGAATGAAATGACCATTTCATAAGTTTAGTAATAGAATGAATTTTCATTCCAATATAATGGTCATTCAATTCTATTCAATTCCTGCCCACCAAACAAATGAATGGTTGGAATGAGCATTCCATTCTATTTAATTCTTCCACACCAAACGTAGCATAAAGTCGTGGTAAATTATATTATTTTTCTTTTATTTATTTATATATATTTTTTTATGAGGTGGGTGTATTTTATCCAATTTTTATTATTATTTTAAATTGTTTTAAAAAAATAATTAAAAAAAAAACTATTGTGGGCTTCCAATCGAATGATCCAATCGAAAGGCTCCCTGCAGCTTCATTCTCTCATCGCGCGGACCACAGAGTTCACTGTGAGACTGAGTCCAGACTCCAGAGAGAGAAGCTCTAGAGAGAGAGAGAGAGAGATAGAGAAAACCTAGAGAGAGAAAGATGAAGCTTTCGCTGAAAGTTCAAGATCAGCACAAGAATGCCCAACCTCACCTCCTTCACAACCACCACCAAAACCCTCTCCTCATCCGAGCCAAAATCCCCATTTCAGTCTTCGGCTTCCCGTTCCTCTCCGCTGTCACCGCCACCGATCCCTCCGACGTCTCCTTCTCTCTCTCCACCAATTTCCCCACCGGACCCTCCGTCAAACTCTCCTACGCCCCTACCTCCACCACCAAAACCGCCGTGGCCTCCGCCACTCCACCTTTAATTCTCACCCTCAAGTCCGGCGTCAGCTTCTTTGGCTCCCCAAACAACTCTCCTCTTGTCATCTCCGCCCACTGCACTTTTTCACCTCAAAACCCTAACCCTAACCCTATCTTCTCTCTCCAATTCAAGCCGCAGTTTGGCAATTTCTCGCTATGCAAAACTACCTATTCTGCCACAAACCCTAACCCTAAAGCCAATGGTGAGGCCAATTCGTTTGGGTTTGTGCCATTAGAGAGGTCAACGGTTTGGAAGGACTTGAGTCACTTGACAATGGAGTCTTGTAGTGGGAAAGATTCAATTTTGTCGGGAATTGCTGTCAGGGCAAGGACGGAACTGCCGGTGACAAAGCGGGTGGCTGTGAATTTCCGGTGGGGAGTCAATTTTCCAGCTGATTTTGGGAAACAACTGCCTTTCTTGAGTGTGAATAAGGTTGGGATTGAAAGGGTAGATGAGGTAAAGGAAGTGAAAGAGATTAGTGTGAAGAGAAATGAGAGCAATGTAGATGATATGAAGGTGTTGAAGGGGATGTGTTTTTGGATGAGAAGTGAATTGGATGCTTTGCAGAAAGAAAACAGAGAGATGAAACATAGGTTGGAGGAAATGAAATTGGGGCAATCTGTGAGGAATTATAGCCACGGTAGTGATGGTGTTGGAAAGAGTGCGCCACCAGTGGTCGAGAATTCAGGTGGATTTGAGCAGTGGAGGAACAAGAATGGTGGGAAAGACAATGGGCGAAAAGAGTCGAAGAAGACTGTGAACCGAGCAGCCGATGTGGAGAGTGAATTGGAGAGAGCTATTAAGGCTGCTTCCTCTTTATGAGGTTCGAATTTATTTGCGTTTGGATTTACTCTGTCTGCAAATGAATGTACATAAGAATTGAGTTTTATATATCTTTTTAGTGCAATTGGCCTAGCTATCTCATGCTAGTATAGAACTAGCATGCCTTGTATTGCAGCATTTTTAGGTTATTGGGAGAAACCTTGTGATTTGGTCTGCAAATCTTCAGAAATCTACTTTTTTGTAACTAAATACGTATTTTGAGGGTCACTGCTAAAGGTTCTGTTTCTCTTTCCTATAACTGCAATGTTCTATGGATAATAAAATTTGTACTGGGAAGCTTTGCTTGTTTGTCTACCTTCTCTAACTTAGTTTGCATTCTCTTTCTTTGATTACATATTTTGTATGTTTTAATGTGATGTTATTTTATAGATTGAGACTATCATTAACAAATATTGCCAACGTAGCTCAAATATTGCAGAATATCCTTAACGAGTTGCTGATGTTTTGGGGGATTCTAGTGTACAAATTTGGTTTCTCCTACAATTTATTGACTTAAAGAAGCAAGTCAACTTCTTCTATGCTTTTTTTTCCTTACTGCCTAGATGGATACTTAGCTCTATCTGGCATGCCCTCATGTTTTTAACTCAATGTTTGACGTTTCAATTTTCTAAAGGTAAGATGTTAGGATATCTAGAAACGTGAGATGTAATTTTTGAAGCCAAAGCTCTATGCTTCTCCCCTGTTTAGGCAAAGCTTTAGTTAAAATTTGATAATTTTCATTTTTGGGGAAACAAATTAAATTAGTGACACCACATGTACATGTTATTGACTTAAAAAATGATTACAAAGCCTGCGGCATCTGCCTCTTCTGCTTCAGTAAATTTACCACATTTTAATTTAAACTATCTTTACGAGTTCTATATTTAGAAGGGGTTTTCTGATGAGAAGATTGTTTAAATACGTCCGTACTTGGTGAGAAAACTAGGTGATTGAAGTGTTTTTATGTGGACAGTTTAGACTTGGTTTGTGAAATACTCTTACTCCATCATGAAATAAAAGCAGTATAACGATAAATATTATTTGTTTCCCTCTGCATCAATGTTGAAATTTTATGTAATTTATGTGAGTTTCGAATACTTCATCTGCATATAAATGGACATAAAAGTGATATTATTATTATTATTATTATTATTTTAAGTGCAATTTTTTTGGTTATATCGTGCAATGCAGAATTAGCATGCCTAGTGCTCCAGTCTTCCAGTACAGTTTAGACCTCTTAAAATTATTCATTTATTGAGACAGAACTTGTAGTTTGGTTTGTATGTCAGTGGAAATTTCAGATTTTGGTCATTCTTAAACACCCATTGTGTGGGTCTCTGCAAGAGGTTCAGTTTCTCTTACCCACAAGGGTACAACTGCAATGTTGTTTGTTAAGTTAATTTATGCTGTGAAGTTTGTTTTTTAGTCTAACTTTTCAAGCTTAAGTTACAGCATTTTCTTTTATGGCAGATTTTGTTTATTTTAATATGTTTTTATTTTTGTAATTCCCACTAATATTATTAACAAATATTAGTATTAAAAAAAGCCAATTATTGGAAAGTATCCTTAATAGCTTTCCAATGGTTGGGATTGTAAAAAATTTATAAGACTCCTACTTCCCAAAGGGAGGTCAGGGGTTCCAACTTCAGTGGAGGCAGTGTGTGTGAGTCCCAACTAGGTAAAAAAAAAAATTGTAAAAAATTTGGTTTCCCCTAACATTGTTGACCTAAAGAAGCTACACCATTTTATAATTTTGTTTTCCTTGTTATAAATGGATAATTAGTTAACCGTTTTGGCATGCCCTTAGTTTCTTCATGCAATGCCAATATGACTAGTCCATTATTTAAAAGGCTAGGTCTTGGGATTTCTTGATGCATGTGATGTGAGTTTTGAAGCTGAAGTTATGCTCCTTTCCTGTTCAGGCAAAAGTTTAGTTCAAAATTCGATAATCGTCGTGGGTTCATTGGCTTAGAAAACGGTTCAGCTATCGTATGCTATAAATTTTGGCAGACTTGCAATTTAATACTTTAAATCTTTATTGATTTTGATGCACACAGAGTAAAATCAAATGACATTCATAAAGACTGTTGCAATTAAATGTGTTAGACCTTAATTGATTTTGATGCACATGAGTGAAAAAGCTTATGTTGTCAAGATTGTTTGAGTTACTTCAAAAAATTTTAGAGCATATTGTATAACCCTTCATTGTGAAATAGAACCTGATAGATGCCTTAAATTTCTAACTATACTAGCAATGTGCTTGAAAAAGAAGCACAAAAGAGGAAGGTTGTATTAGATAGCTGATGGCCAGCTTAAGACCTTTGTCAGACCACTGCAATTATTGTCATAAGAAGTTATTGCCTATTGAGACCTGTTTGGGAGGAGGAAGCATTTAAAAGAGAATCAAAGAAGCTCGAGTGGACAATCAATGTGATCACTGAATTGCAGAGAGCTGGCATAACAGCTTCCTTGTTTCTGCTTACTTACTTATATAGGATATTTTAAGAAGTGAACATCTTTCTTTTTAGTGGTGTCTGGGAAAGAATAGGAAATGTGATTTCACTATATTTCTGACTAGGAACAGGGCCTACCGCAAAGAATAATTTTTTTATTGGGGCGATAGTTCTGAAAAGATAGATTGCCTATATTTTCTTTCTTCTCGGGAGAAAGACGATTGGGGGGAGCTAATACGAATCTCAGGTAAAATTAGAACAATTCCCACATTCAAATCCCCCCTTTTACCATTAGTGAGAACACTCCAACATTTGCCTTCAGGAGACTTGTTTAAGTAAAACCACCCAACCTGCTTAATGCGGTTTATAATTGTGGTTGCCTGATGAAAGGATCGTTCAATCTTGATTTTCTGTGAGAAAACTTGGCAATTGGTGTGTTTTTTGCATGGATGGTTTAATCTTTTGGCATTTGGTGAATTATTACTTCCACTCTCTGAAAATCACAGCAGTATAACTACATATCTTTTTTCTGCAGTTCATGTTGAATTTTGTTGATTATGGTCTTTTGTGTAGCTCTTCTGACTTTGTCCCATCCCTTTGATGGTGGCTTTGTAAGAGCAGGTTGGCCGGGTTTACATTCCACCGAGAACGTTACCGCAACAACCTGAAGTTGGCTTGAGAAACTACCATTGAGGGAAGGATCCAGCTTTAGCTCCAAAGGTAGCAATCATATATATAGAGTATAGTTTTGTTGAGTGTTCTTTCAAAGTCCTCCTAGATATCAATTGTAGTAACTCTCTGGCATTAAGCTTTTAAACCATGAACTTAATTAATATTGAGAGGCAAATTTAATGAATTGGTCAAATTATTGCTAGTTTCTTTTATTTTTTACACGACACACAAATTTATTGAAATTCAAGCAAAAGACAGACCACAGTTGCAACCCAGTGGTACCTCTTCTACCGCCCAGGATGGAAGGTTGAGAGCAGTATCTCTTCTAGCGCCCAAGATTGAAGGTTGTGGATTCGACTCTCAACATCCAAATGTGTGGGTGTGGGTGCGTGCATTATTTGTCTGGACAAAGCAAATTACAAATTAGAAAAAATACACACACAAATTACAAATTAGAAAAAAAACACACACACACACACACACACACATGCATACATGCATGCATGCAAATAATTGCTATATCACTTGATCATCTCAAGGCCTTTGTTATTAGAATCAAGCATAGCATATTCTAACAATGAAGTCTATAATATCAGGGCCCCTCTTCAACCTAAAAGCATATCTTAATGAAGTATCAACTAATCTATTACACCCTCTCTGAACAAAATGCAGATAACAAAAGCATATCTTATTTGCATATATTTTTATGGTTTTTAAATGTTGAATTTTCTTTGTGTGTATTCTATGTCAATTGTAGTGATTTACCATTTAATAAATGACTGAAAACAAACACCAATTTTCTTTAATCCAACAATGAAATTTGAATTCATGCTCCTCTTTAGAGATTTAAATTCAAACAATGGCCAAGTGAAATGATCACATTTTTTCTTGAAAGACTCTAGAGATATTTCAACTCAATTCTCTCTTTCAATTTTTTGACATTATAAAAAAACTAAATCCATCAAAATTTTACTTATACACGCTGATTGGAAATTATTGTTAAATTGAAACACCTAGTTCACAAATTCTTTGGCGGGCTTGAAAAATAACTTTGCCCAAAAGGGAGAAAAACTTAAAAATTAATTTTCCAAGTTTAATTTCTCTATCTCCATTTTTTTTTTTAAATAATTATTTTCCTTGAGTAATTTGTCCGGCAAAAAAAAAAAAAAAAAAAAGAGAGTAACAATTGTTTTCTTTTTCCTTTTCCTATTACCTTAGATTATAAATATGAAAACAAAAGTCCAAATAAAATTGGAGGCACTTGAAACAAATGAATAATAAATAAATGGATGTGTAAATCTCTTGTGAATGAAAATAAATATTTATTTATTTATTTATTTATTTTCATTCATAAGAATATTTTTTTTAGAAAATATTTTTCTTTTTATGCTAAAATATTTTTTTATTTTTATTTTGTCGATATTTGGTAAAGGAAGTTGACGGCAGAACATATAAAATAACTTGTCAAAAATTAATAAATGAGTTATTTTTGTTAAATTTTTATTTTTATTTTCCTCGTAAATATTTTACAAGCCTAAATCTGTGCGTTTGTGACTTGTTTTTATAATAAATTAGTAATAAATAAGAATAAATCTGAAAACAAGTTAGGTCTCTTTGCGCCGTCAACGTTATCAGATGGCTCAAATTAGGGTTTGTCACTCGTGCGTTTCTATAAATACTCCACGCACACAGTCCTGCTTTACTCTCTCTCTCTCTCTCTCTCTCTCACACACACTCACACACACACACCCCGACGCATTTAAGTCATGCATTTCTCAGAAGTTCTGAGCACAAATTAGGGTTTCTTATCTTGACTATTGGATAGACAAGTCTAAAGTTCAGTCTTTAAGTAGTTTTGAGCATAAATTTCACCTACTATTATTCTAATATACCTCTAAAGTTCAAGTCTCTTATTTTATTTTTGCTAGCAATATTAGGGTTTTCCTGTAAAAAAAAAATTAGGGTTTTCTTCTGAATACAAGCCCTTCTGAAATTAGGGAGGAAAGAGACGAGGTGACGAAGAAATTCATTGGTCTGTCAATCCACTGACATACTACTGTATGATGTTAGTCGTGAATCCCGACAGGTTCTGATCGTCTCTATTCTCTTCGATCCAACACACACACAATTCTCCACGCCAATTCAAATCTTTGTATGTGTATATCTATATATAGGTATCTATAGATAACTGAGTTTATGTTGTTTTCGTTTTCATGGGCTTATAAGATTCAATCAAACAATTCGTCAAACACAAACTCAAATCTTTGTATGTGTGTATCTATATATGTATCTATGTGTGAGTATGGGCATATGAAGAATCTCGTAACAAATGGGTAATTTGCATCTGAATGTTTCTGTTTGCAAAATCATTTTAATTTTTATTATTGCCTCTTTGTTAGATAGTTTTAAAAAATAACTCTTAGGAATTTTTTTCAATCCATTCCAGGTTTAGGTCTACGTAGAATTGCCCTTTGTTAAAACCTAAGGCAGAGGAGATGTTTTTTATGCTCCTCTCGTGTTTTAGAGAAAACTAAAATATCATCAATATAAACAACAACAAAATCTTTAAGGTCATTAAAGATCGAATCCATCCAGCTCTGGTAAATCTGAGGCGCTGTATTAAGACCAAAAGGCATAACGGTCCATTGATAATGGCCGTGAGGAGTGCTAAATGCCGTGAGAGGTTTGGACTTCTTTCGCAGCTTTATCTGCCAGAAGCCAGCTTTACAATCAAATTTACTAAAGATTGTTGATCCTCTCGTTTGATTGATGAGAACATCTTTGCGAGGAATAAAATATCCATCAAAAATGAGATGTTCATTAAGCCGTTTATAGTTGATGACCATACGAGCTTTTCCACGTTTAACTTCACTATGGTTTCTAACCATGAAAGCAGGACTGCTGTGTGGGCTGCGTGTGCGTTCAATGAGTTTTTTCTCAAGGAGATCTTGAAGTTGGGCATCAAATTCATCGATGTCGCGGCGTAGATAGATCATGGGTTTAACACGAATAACGACATTGGGATTTTTAAGTTGTAGACGACAAAAACGAGGGCTTCGTTTCCACAAGGTAAGTGGATTTTCAGAGAAGTTTTGACGAAGCGAATTATAGAGCCAATGGATATCTTGTAGTACCAAGGCATCAGATTCTCGTTTGGGTGGAGAGAACTTTTCGTTACAAACGGAGGCTAAATTTTCCTGTATAGGAATTTCAACAACTGTTTGATCTTTTAGTGTTAACGAAATGGTTTTTTCGTTTAATTGTAAAGGAAGGTAACTATAGATAAAGTTACATCCTAAAATGAAATCGCCATGCATGTATGGGAAACACAGGATTTTGGGTATAATGAATTTTTTATCATTAAGCCAGATTGCTACATCCTTGGCCTTAAACTGGATGACGTTTAAAGGTGCTTCAGCGTCAATTCCTTGAACACCAATAGGATGTTTCATTTGTTGCCATTTTTCGGATGGCAGAGCATTGTATCTACAACAACTGGTAGTTGCGCCGGTGTCTATTAAAACACAAAGGCCATATGGTTTATAACCTTTGAAATTGAGAATGCCGTTAACATAAGTATATTTTCGTTTTTTGCCTTGCGAAGGAGCAATCAGAATTTCATCTTTTCCGGTGCGGAAATGGAAGAATTTTGCAGAATTCATCTTGTGTGTGGATCCAGGCAAAAAGGGGGCATCTTGAGGATCGATAGGAGTTTTTCCTTTTTCTGTCCATGTAAAACGACGTCTAGGAGGTATTTCGACGGATTTTCTTGGGGGAAGGAATCTGTCCCACCCAGGATTTCTTTCAGATACAGATCGTTGTAGCTGAGGTGGTTTTGCTTTATTGGTAACATAAAGATTTGAACCAGAAGCATGTATTGTAGTCACAGTGGGTTCTGTGATACGTAACTTGGGAACAGAATTGATGTTATCAAATAGCCAGGTTTTTGGTATTTCAAGATCGGTCCAATTGAGTAGTTTGGGCTCAATTATGGTATCGAATGGTCTTGGCTCGAATAGAGTAACTAGTTTAGAGTCAAGTGTAGGAACTGTGGCAGTTTCGGGTTCTCTAGTGAGTTCATAGAGGACTTTCCACTGGATTCCAAGGCTAGGGGAATCGTAATCCATTTGTAGTTTTGACAACTGGAGTTTAACTTGAAGGACCTTTTCGATGTTTGGGTCCGAAAGGGAAATGAAGTAATTTGGTTTGATTTTAAACCAAATAAGATTGTTAACTAAATTGGATTGAACACCGCCAATTAGTGCATCAACGGGTTTATGAAAACGATTATCCATAAGGAGGGCTATAACAGGTTGATCTGTTCCGCGGCGAAACAGCGAGGTGATCTTGATCTGTACTAGTCCAATATGGATATAACGAGCTAGAGGATTTTGTTGTTTCCATCGATCGATTTTATCCTTGCTGAGGATATTAAAACCACATTGACCATTTGCTGTATAGTCAATTGTTGTATTGCCACTGAATTGTTCTAAAATTCGTTTAGAGAAAATGGCAAATCGGGAAGTTTTGTAGACTTCTTCTTTTTTGATTCGTTGGAGCTTATCGAACTGAATCAATTGTTCGTTAGTGAACTGGACTTCTTCGCCTATGATGTCACTTAGTTTGATGTTAGTGTTTTCTTCAGGAAGGGAAGGAGTAACGTTTATCATGCAGATATGTTCAATATCCGAGGAGTCGTCATCAGTAGTGTTGTGAGAAGAACTAGACGAATTGCTAGAATCAGTATGACTGGAGAGTTCATATAAAATGGCAGAGGGATCGGTGACATCGCTACCATAGACGACACAAAGGTTATCGGTCTGTAGACGTTTAATCATTTTTGAAGCCTTCTTGCCTTTTTGGGGGCAATTAGTGGCATAGTGGCCAGCTTCATTGCAAATATAACATTTGCAGTCCTTTTTGGTTTCCAGGGCTTTGGAGGATTTTTTGGATCCTTTCTTTTTTCCTTTCACAGGTTTTTGAGAAGGAGCTTTGGTAACATATTTCTTGGAAGCTTTCGGACGGCGTCCTTTCCATTGTTTCCAACGAAAATTTTTTCGCTTGGGCCTTTTTGAGGGGGCAGCCCGATAAGGAGTGCAACCAATTTTCCAGGTTTCCTGGAGAATCTTGTCACAACAGCGTTGGCCTTCTGCAGTGCCATTGATCTGGTTTTTAACCTGTTTTTTGGCTTTGGTCTCAAGA